TCCCAAGCAAGTAAAGGTATGGAGAAGAAAACTTAAAGATATTTTTATGCTTGTATTTTATTAAATAAAATATTTCTTTAAAAAGATTTCCATTTCAAAGTTGAAACATACTTCATTACAGAATATTTGTGATATATTAAAACTTGTGGAAAAATGTAACCAGATATATAATTCTACCATCAAAAGTAAATCACCAAAACACTTTGACATGTATGATGTGTGAAAGCTATATTTTTACTGAAATTAAATTCTATTCTTCACATGTTCAAATATCATTTACGTTTTCTCTCAAACATTTTGTATTTTACCCTGATTTATTTTTTATACAGAGCTCTTATAATTTTCCTATTGGCTTATAAGTATTTGATATTAAGGACATGTATATGTGGCTGTTTTTTCCAGTTCAGCTTTTGTCTCTTACAATTTTGACTATGCTTTGAGATAATAGAGAGTTTTCTCATCTTCACTGAATATAATCTATTAGCTTTTTTTCTGTAGTCCCCTCCTTTGTCATGATCGTAACCAAATATTATAAAATACAACAAAGCCTATATATTTATGTCGCTCTTTTACTGTTTGAATTGTTGTTGTTGAAACATTTAAAATATTTGAATTTGTTTTTCTTTAAGACTGTTTAGCTAACCAGCCTTTTTTACTCCCAAATAACTGCTCATTTATCCTAAGCAGCATATTTTTAATATGTAACTCCATTTCCAAACTCTCAGTTTTCTTACATCTATTTGTTTTTCTCTCTATTCTTATAAAGATAAGCTATCATTTTATTACTCCAGCTTTATAATTCATTTTAATATCAGATAGATTTGTCTGCTTCATTGATCTTCATTTCAAGAGTTTTCCTAGTAGTTTTCAGAGGACACTTTGGAAAGGCTGGTGGGATAATAGGGTGAAAGAAACCTTCCTGCCTTTCTTGGTGATGGTGCTTTGTCGAAAGTTGATATATGATAGAATGTATTTCTAATCTTGTCCATCTATAACAGATTGCCAAATCCATAATTGTCAACCATAGTTTTCAGTGCTGCTGCAATTCTGTTTTAGGTATTAAATGATAAACCAGCACGGCTACTCTCTATCACAAGCTTCACGTTATTTACAGATTATTTTAAAAATTCTTTTATGGCTATATATAAAATAAATGATTCTCTGAATTTAAGTCCTTGGAGCTAAATGCCAACTATATTTTGGGGGGCATTCATCCAGGGCTAGAATCTTTAGTATATGAGAATTCTTAAACTCCATCTCACATGCTGATCAAAATTGAATTTATTTTTTAATGTAATAGATAAAGGTGTGTATTTTGTTATTTTAACTTGTATTTCTTTAATTACTAATAAAGTCAAGAACTTTTGTGTTTAAACATATTTGCAGTTCTACTTTCTGTGAATTGCCAATTCATATGATTTCATTTTTCCATTGTTTCTTTAGACTTTTGTGACTAATCAGAGATAACAGCTCTTTGTTTCATTTATTGTAAATTTATTCTCATCTCTTTTTTTATATTCACTCTTTATTTTTTCACTTTCATAAAGTGAAATCTATGAATCTTTATCTTCATGGAATCTAATTTTTACGTCGTATCTAAGATGTTTTTATCAGCTCCATTATGTTAAAATATTTTCCCATGTTTGCTCTTACTAATTTTATAGTTTTATTTTTACAGATATAAATCTTTTACATCTCTGGAATTTATTTTCAAATGAGAGTGAGGTTTGGAATTTGATCTTCCATCCCCTGTTGCTAAATATTTGTCCCATTATCATTTACTGAATATTTTCCTTACTGATCCAAAAATCTATCTCTATCATATATCACATTTATATATGTGTTTGTCTCTAGGTCTGGACAATGCTTTCTGTTGTATTTTGCTGTCTCATTCTCTCTGCTGTGGGTCCTCACTCTCGGAAATGCTGTAACTCTATAATGTTGTGGGGTAAGCTGTGCATCAAGACAAAGACCACTATATTACATGGCAGAGTCACACATCAACAAGGCAGCATTTAGTGGGAAAACTTATAAGTAAAAATTTAGCAAAATTCCTCCTTTTCCCGTCCTCCCATGGAGAAGCATTCAGGGGCTGAGTGACTGCTGCATGCAGCCTTGTAATATGTCCTAGGAAAGTGATCTCACCTGCTACCTCGTTTATTTTTTAATCAGGGAAACCTGAGAACACACTCGGAAGAAAAGATTCAAAGGCCAAACCTTCGAAGTTAAGTGCTATGAATTTTGAAGCCAGCTATTAATAATAGGATAAAGGATAATAGGATAAAGCCAACTGCTGGCATTTATTGATATTGTGGAATTCTAACATGAGGAAGAGCCTCCTTCCCAAAGAAAAGTTACCAGCACCAGCTAACTTATTACAGTGCAACGCTCCTGGCTCACCAGAGAACAGTTCTGTGTGTCTCCATACAGATGTATTTTACTGTTATTTATTGCTATCATTAAGTAGAGCTTTTCTGATATTTTCAGTTTGATTGGCTGATTTTTATATCATTGACCCAACATCAAACTGTTTTATTATATAGCTTTACCGTAGGTCTTGGTATATTATAGCATAAATCATCTAGCTTTGATCTTCAAAATCGTCTTGGCTCATCTCAGCCTTTTGCATTTCAATATACATTTTTTAGTCAACTTCTCAATTTTTAAAGAAATACTGCTTGGATTCAGATGAGGAGTATGTTGAATAGACACATGAATTTAAAGAAAATTGGCTTTTTTACAATTCATGAACCTAATATATCTATTTATTGGATGTGTATTTTGTTGTCATTTTTAAATTATTTTATTGTTTGCCTATCTAACTCTTTGATATTGCTAATTATGTAAAGAGATTTCCTAACATTGAACCATTTTTTCATTCCTACAATAAAAGTAGTTGTTAGAATGAGAGCTAAAAATACCAACATTTGTGAGGAAGTCGCAAACTAAATTCTCTTGATGAGAATTTGGCATTATTTGTTGATTAGTTGAAAATGACTAGTAATTCTAATTCCTTGAAAAAGTTTTTCACATGTAAACGGATATATACATATATATTAATTGCAAACTTTTATAATAACAAGTCATCAGTAAAAATAAACTTGTTTGAAAAATGTTATTATGACAGGATATCATTTATTCATTTTTTATAAGCCACACACAAAATAGTAAGATGACAGGTGAACTTTAGCTCTGCCAGTATTTTTTATTTTATTTAAAATTTGAGAAGAAAAATGATAAAAATACAAATATTACTAATTCTGAGTAATAGTATGGAGATCTTTATTACATTATTCTTGCACTTCGCATTCTTGAAACATTTCAAAATGTTTTAACCCTACACTGTGTCTATTTATTTCTATTAATGAGGTCTTTGGTCAGATATAAACTCCTGTGTTTTTTCCTTTATTTTTCCTTTTTTTCAGACCTCACTTAAATTTGCTGTGTTACTATCTTTCTTAGATATCTAGCATATCTTTCTTGATATCTTGTTTCAAAAATTCTGGCTAATATTATTCATGTGTAAATACGTGTCATTCCCCATGGGTCTGCTTTACCCATTTAGAGCAATATACATGTGTTCCCTGTAGATTCTCCTTTGCTTATCAGAGCTCTACACTTATAATATCCCTGTAAAGGATATGGAGTTTTTATGTTTTTGTTTGTTTGTTTTTGAGGAAGATTAGCCCTGAGCTAACATCTGCTGCCAATCCTCCTCCTTTTTGCTGAGGAAGACTGGTCCCAAGCTAACATCCATGTCCATCTTCCTCTACGTTACATGTGGGATGCCTGACACAGCATGGCTTGACAAGCGGTATGTATGTCTGCACCTGGGATCTGAACCGGTGAACACCGGGCCACCTAAGCAGAATAAGCGAACTTCACGGCTGCGCCACCAGGGCAGCCCCTTATGTGGACTTTTTTCTCTTTTGAGGAAGATTAGCCCTGAGCTAACTGCTGCCAATCCTCCTCTTTTTGCTGAGGAAGACTGGCCCTGTGCTAATCCATGCCCATCTTCCTCTACTTTATACATGGGATGCCTACCACAGCATGGCTTTTTGCCAAGCAGTGACATATCTGCACCTGGGATCTGAACTGGTGAACCCTTGGCCGCCAAGAAGTGGAACCTGTGAACTTAACTGCTGCGCAACCCAGCAGGCCCTGTGGATATTTTAACAGATCTGTTTGGACTTCAGCTGCTTGACGGAGAAAGTGGGTTAAGTGAGGCAGTGGGAAGCCTGCCGCAAGCATCTATTTACGCAAACTCTGAGCACTGTGCTTCCCAAATTACCAAATTCCTAGGCACAGAGGTAAAGTCAGGACCCATGGGAGAAGACTCAAATATTTGGAGCCTTCTCCACCTTAGGGGAAAAGAACATGAGAGGCCATGTCAATTTGGCCAACTATAGATTCATGTGTCTTAAAGACCCATAGTCTTTAATATCTCTGTTTATCTGACATTTAGCAGCAACTACAGAACTGACCTAGATTGTCAGTGGTCTATATTCCATCTATTCGTCTTCATTTTTCTTGATCCTGCTCCTTAATTAGAAAATCATTTGGCCTTTCCTTCATTTAAGTGCCCCTTCCTATTATGCAGTGTAGAAACAGATTTCAAGATGGGAGGGTCCTCTTCTTTGCCTATGGAGGACCAATAAATCTATCTCTCAAATTCTAAAAAGGTGGCAGGGAATTTCCACAATCACCAACTGAGGTATTCACTTGTTGCGAGATTAGTGCAGATATTAGTTACATGTTGACAGCCTCAATTTTCTTCAACCATCTTGGTTTATGGCAGATATTCCTCATAATTTCTACTCAGAAATTGTCTACTTTTTAAATTTTGGGTATCAGAGTTGTTCAATACTTATGATTCTTTTGCACATTTCATGAGATTTTAGGAAGCAAAGTTAAGTAAATATGGATTTCGTCTCTGAATTTAACTCACGGACATCGATCTATTTTGATTTCATTTTAGGTAACATAAGCCAACAGTCAAACAAATGGAAAAGCAAAATCACACCATGGTATCTCAGTTTATTTTGCTGGGACTGACAGAGTTTCCTGAGCTACAGATTTTCTTTTTCCTATTTTTTTCTGTTATCTACATGGCCATTGTATTAAGTAATCTCATCATTATCTTTGTAGTGAAATTTGACCCTCAATTGCACTCTCCCATGTACTTCCTACTGGCCAATCTCTCCTTTATTGATATGTCCCTGGCCTCCTTTGCTACTCCTAAAATGATCTGTGACTTAATTAGTGACTATAAGACCATCTCCTATGAAGGCTGCATGGCCCAGATGTTTTTCCTTCACCTTTTGGGTGGAAGTGAGATGATGTTGCTAGTAGCCATGGCAATTGATAGATACATTGCTATATGCAAACCCCTCCATTACAACAATATTATGAGCCATCGTGTTTGCATTGGACTTGCACTTCTCTCCTGGACCACTGGTTTTGTGCACACTATGAGCCAAATGGTTTTCACAGTGACATTACCATTCTGTGGCCCCAATGTTGTGGATAGTTTTTTTTGTGATTTGCCTCAGGTAATCAAACTTGCGTGCACCGACACTTACACCTTGGAGCTATTAGTCATTGCACTGAGTGGACTACTCTCTCTGCTCTGTTTCACCTTTCTGTTCATCTCCTATAGCATCATCCTGATTACTGTCCGGCATCATTCCTCCAGTGGGTCTTCCAAGGCTTTGTCCACTCTGTCAGCCCACATTACAGTGGTGGTACTGTTCTTTGGACCTTGCGTCTTTATCTATATATGGCCATTTAGCAGCATCTCCATAGATAAGATCCTCTCTGTGTTTTATACAATTTTTACTCCTCTTTTAAATCCAATCATCTACACATTCAGGAATAAAGACATGAAGAAAGCAATAAGAAAAATAAAGACTATGCATGTGAGTCCCAGATCAACATTTTAACTGAAATATTACAATCATCAAAGGCATCATCATCATTGTTGCCATGATCATTGTCGTCTTCCAAAATAGTGAGAAATATGATTTTGTACCAAACATAAATCACATTTGGGGAAATGATAATCCTTCCCTACACAAGCGTATATGCAATAAAACATTCTGACTTGTGCATCGAAGTACAAACCATTCCAATACAATACCATGCATTTATGTTATAATTTTGTTTTTCTATAAACTAAATTATATTCTTAATATCATTTATTGAGTTCTAACCATGTATGAGACACTTTGCATGTGTTTTCTCTAACTTCACAACACTGAAAATAGAGAACATTATTTACATTTTATCAATAAAAAACTGAGCATTATAAAACTAATGAACTTGCCCCAGAAACTCTAAGTACTAGACCTAGAATTAGATTTTACTTCTAACTGCAAAAGCTATACTTTTATAACTAAAAATATTTTTGTATCAAAGTTTTAATAACATTTATAAATTTTTGTTTCCTTCCCCCTGCTTTACATGTCATAGTTCCCAATAAATGAATCTTTCCAACAAGAGGATAAAACAATTTTCCATTGACCTGAAAGTAAAAATTCACCAGTGATTTGTCTCCATATCCCCGATTCAATAGAAAAGAGCTTATTAAACCAGATAAGAAGATTGATCCCAGTGACCAAGATGTACTAAGATTGCTGTGACAAAATAAGGCAGGGAAGACCATGTCTAAAACCCAAATGATTCTCTGTTAGTATCTCACAGTATTTGCATATCAAGAAGTAGAAGTAAATGAAAATTACATAGCTTCAGCAAAAGTAAAAATTTGGTTCACTCTACCAAGTACAGAATCACCAGCATCAGAGATTTTGGATGAAGACAAAAGAAGAATGCAATCTACAGTAAAAGAAGACAGTCATAAATATTAACTGAGTCTCATTAACCATTAGTAAAATGATTATAGAAACTTAGAATATTTTTGTTCCTAAATTGCATATTATGGTAATTGTGCTTGTATAATATTTGTTAACAAATCTCAAATTCATTTTTTCTTTTATTTTTTTTACCCAGGAGTTATTGGTGGTTAACATTACAATTTAGTCTCCAGGTTACAGAATATTCATATGGGATTATGACTAAATTAGAAGACGTACCAGTACCACAATGAGACAGATATAGGAAACTACGGAAATTTTTATCTCTCTATTTTAAGAAGAAAAGGAGAATGTCTCAATTTGTATGCAGGATAAATTAATCTTTAGGCTGAAGCAACTTTTATTGATTGGAATATTTTTCCTTTTTGTTTTGTTTCTGTTTTTTTGTTTCTTTTTTTTTTTGGTGAGGAAGATTCACCATAACATCTGTTGCCAGTCTTTCTCACTCTTTTTCTTTTTGCCTGAGGAAGATTAGCCCTAAGCTAACACTTGTGCCAGTCTTCCTCTATTTTATGTGTGGGATGCCTCCACAGGATGGCTGGTGAATGGAGTAGGTCTGGCCTGGGATCCAAACCCGTGAACCAGGACTGCTAAAGCAGAGAACATGGAACTTCAACCACTCAGCCATGGGGCCAGCCCCTGTAATTTTAAATAAAGGTGGAATAGTATATGTGGATACTGAGTAACCAAGTGGGAAGATGATTCTGAATGTTTGTCTGTTGACATTCAGCCCCATATTAGCTCTTTTATCATCTCCTCTCTACAGTAGAGAACTAAGATCCTGAATATTACATTTCCTAAACTCCCTTGCAAACTTATTTCTATCAGGTTCTATCGGTGGAACATGCTAACATATTGAAAGGCAGGGAAAAGAGAGAAGACTTATTAACCCAGGACAAAACCTGAAAGCCCAACTCTACACTAGAAGCTGTGAGGAGAGGGAGTCCCTGTCTTGTTGACCACATCTACCTGGAGCAGAGCATCCAGAGTAGAGCAGAGCGGGGCTTCCATGAAACTGGGACGGGAGGGAGAAGGGAAGGATTGGTGGGACTAAAATGCCGGATTCCCTCTTCCAAACAAGATTTAGTAGATTCTCTTGAATGAATGTTTCTCTATTTTCTGTATGCCCTAGGCTAATTTCCAGAGACTCTAAATTATTGTTCTTTATAAAAGTTTCTCTAGTCAAATGTTTGTTTTGTTGGGAAAGAGTCCACCAGGGACTCTAAATGAAGTCCTTACCTGATATTATTCTGATGTAGAAAATCTGCAGATAATATTTTGGATTTTACCACTTACTCTGTACATACGGTCATCAATCATGCATGCTCTGTTACCAAATCTTCACAATTCTACCTGGCGATTTCACCATACCCTCTTCTCTACCACCCTCCATGGGCTCAGATCAGACTTCCATCATTTCTTACCTAGATTATTAAAATAAAGCACCTACTTCACAGTACTACTACCATGATCTTGTGAAAAGTCAATTCTTTTCATAGTGTCTATTTTACCATTTCAATAGCTCCTCATTAACTGTAGCATATATTCCAAACTACCTTGCTTGATATTTATTGATATTGAAGTTCTTATTCTAACCTAACTTTTTGTCCTCATCAAAAACTCTCCCTTCTTCACCACCAATGTATCATTTACTTCAAACATATTAGCTATTTTCTGTTCACTTAGTATGTCAGAATATTCTATGCTTCCATACTTTCCTACATATAATTATCTCTGCCTAGATTTTTCTTCTTGCCTCTATGTATAGCGTATTTGTACCTATCATTAAAAGCACAGCTATCTCTTTTGGAAAAGGTGGTCTCTTTTGTGAGAAATTTGTCTACTCCATAAAACAAAGTTTGCTTTATTGCATACCTGTATCATCACACTTAGCATTGGTTTATTTGAAGTCAGTTATTAATAATAAGATTCTGAGATCCTCATGGGCAGATTGCTGACACACAGTATGGGCCCGAAAAAGGTTTGAGCCTTGATGAATTCAATATCTATTTCATGGCCTCATTTTAGCCACTTGAGAACTGGTTGTGAATAAAGAGTTTCCCTATTTCTTGGGGCAATATCTACACCATAAGCACTTATGCTGCCAGAAAAGTAATTTGAAGTTAGTTAGAACATCTAAATTTTGTCCTCCAGAATTTTCTTTAGAGAAGAAATCAAAGGATAGCATATTCAACACCAGAAAATTGAAGGATGTTAGATAATAGGAAGCAAATTCACTCAATAAATCAACCAAAAGTAAGATATTAAGCCAGGAGTAGAAGTGTATGCTAAATACAATCCCTGCTACCAGGGAATATACAGTAAAGTGAAGATAAATTGACAGCATTAAACATTTGAGGACAGGGAAGGCATATGAAAAGAATCACAGAATTTTGCCCTGGCCAGTAACCTAAGATGTATATTTAACCAAGAAGTAAAGAACTATTAGGATGGAGACTGGAGGAATATTTTATTGGGTCAGAATCCATAGCTGAACTAAAAGAGAAGACTGACAGTCAATAAAAATATTGTGTAATGCCATTGTACCAAAGGAGGGTGAATACATTTTCTGCTGGCTGTGACCAAATAATCAGGTATGAAAAAAATGACAGCATCTATTTATGCTATTTTAATTTGAAAAGATAAGTTAAATATGCTATATTAATATTTAATACAGATTATTTTCGGTACTCTAAATTAGTCTGTGTGTTACCTGGTCATGTTACATATGGTATTTAAAGTTTTCTGAAGAAGGTGTGAGTTAACCAGAGCACAGATGGGTTGAGAGCAGTTCTCCTTGCAGTTATTTGCTTTGAACATATTCATGTGTATTATAGGTTAGGTGGCCAAAGTAAGCAGGTTGGAGAGATTTAGAGTTTATATTATCTTATTGCAACTCAATTTGTTCTCCAAAACTTTATAAGAAGCTTAAAAAGGTTTCTACAAATAAACTTTGGATTGAAGATAATTCTAAGTATTAAAACTCACCTAAATGACTATAAAATAGTGGAGTTGACAATTCCATCCATAATATAAACTCTTTGTCAGCTAAATCACAAAGTAAAAGAACAGTGAGCTATCAGAACTGACAATAAGGGGCCTAAAAGGATTCTAAATTATTAAGAAACATTACAACATGGACTTACTTCTATTATGATTAAGAATGAACTTGACAAACTATACTCTACCTTGATATATTAGCTAGTGATCATGATTAGTAAAACATTTAAAAAGTAAATATATAAAAAAGATTAATCTCTATAATTTTCTTTGCAATATTAATAGTCACATGATACTTAAATTTTTCACTAAATATAATAAAAAGTGTTTCTGAATGTTTCTTACTAAGAGGGACAAAAGCCACATTCCCCTGGGAAAAAAGCCTGTGCTTCCTGTCACTTTAATAATGGCTAAAAGGAGCAATATGATAATAAACAAAATGTACTCCTTATCAGTAAACACTATAAAAAACAGCACATAGAAACCATTTCTAATGATTTACAAATCAAGTGATAGAATAAGTTATGTCTTGCAGGGAGACGTTTTGCCTTATATAAAAGTATGGATGATTTTTAACATTTGTATATAAGAAACTCTCATCCACAGTAATTACTCTTGTAATAAAAGCAAGGACTGTGACAAAAATCTACATTAAGCCATGGATTGAGTGGTGAATTTGATTAAAATTAGATAAGGACTTGGAGATAAGTGACAGAGTTGTCAACCAATTTGAAAGTTACTTGCAACACCCTTTGTTGGCAAATTATTTGTTGGCAGATTTTGAAGACTTTGGTGTTGTGTACACCAGGATCATTAATATGATTAATTTTGTAAAAGTAACATCTTGTAAAACTGATACTGAACCTGAAGTGAGTTTGCTCACCCATTGTGCAGCAAGCCAATCTCTGACACCGGCTGTGGTGGGAGAAAGTAGGAATTTTATTTTTGCACAGCGCTGAGCAAGGAGAGAGGGCAGCTAACGCTGAAATCCCAAACTCCACAAAAAGCTAAAAGGAAGGATTTTTATTTGGGGTTTTAGGTAGGGGAGGGCGAATATATGGCCTTGCCGG